TTTATTATTTTTATTTTATGTGTATGCGTGTATTGCCTGCATGTAGGTAAGTGTACCCATGTCGTGCAATGCCGTAGGATCCCTGGACCTGGAGTTATGAACAGTTGTTAGCTGCCATGTGGGATTTGAACCAGGTTCTTCTGCAAGACTAGTCAGTGTTCTTAACCGCTGTGCTATCTGTCCAGCCCCAAAGCTGCGTTTTTCAGGGAAAATTCACACCTCCTAAGACATCCCCTTTGTGAAGGCACACCAGGAGGAGCTGCTTTTACCCTGCTTTTATCACCTCTGTTCTTATTTCTAAGCCTTTCCTCCCCAACTCCCACAAATTTGCCTCCACTGCCTAACCAGGAAGCAAACCCCTTTTTTTCTGTGGCACCCAACGGTGTAGAAGCCTGGGTCACGGGGCAATCTCTTAGGCTCTCCTAATTGTTTTCAGGAGTCCTGTCCATGCCTGCCTGAATTAAAATGGTTTTTCTCTTGTTGATGTCTCCTGCCACTTTAAATCATAGACCACCACACCATCTAGGAGAGTGGAGGGTAGCTGGGAGCCCTCTCCCCCACTAACAGGCCCTTAGAAACTGCTGGTGGCCCTACACAATATCCAAATTAACACCAGTTACTTTAACACCAGTCGGAGGCAGGGGAAAGCTTAAACCCCTCCCACTATGGCAACCAGGCCCTTGCAGGCTCTTCCTGATTTTCCTAAGACTGTCCCTCTCTCCCATTCTTCCCTACCCTTTCTGAAGATGGTTAGTTAGCATCCACTGTCTGGGGGATGTGCCTGGAAGACAGTGACCCTAGATCTGCTGAACTTGAGGCAGGACAGAAAGACAGGGAAAGGTCAGAAGACAGGAGAGGGGAAAGGAGCCCCTGACTGGCAGAAGCCAAAAGTCACTGGTGTGACTGGCAGAAGCCTCTCTCCAGCAAAGTCAAGAATTCCAGCATAACACACCATGAAGGCTGTCTTCGCAGAGACAGTATTCCTTTAATATGGAGGTATTTTCAAATAAGAATGCTAAAATAGCAGTGAGTCATGTTTAAGACTTAATCTGCATGGTTTTACCCTTCTCCCAGATGTAAACCTGATTTTCTTCTGGGAATCTCACAAACATGACTAATAAACTTTAAAGTGTGAAAGTATCTTAACTTGCTGTGTAACCTTGTGACCTAGAGTTTCACCCTATCAACTGCAACCCTAAGCATTGCACCCCAGGAACCCCCTTAGAATCTCGCTTAGATTCCTTAGCAACCCTTTGAGATGTAACTTCAGAAGTCTCTAGAATTGTATATATGGTGGTTGTAAAGATAGCTAAGCTTGACTCTGAGAAGCCGGAACCCACACTTGAGTGCTCTATTACAGAGGTACTGGCTCTCCCCCAGTACCTGTGCTTAAAACTGTTAAAATTCTCTCTCTCTCTCTCTCTCTCTCTTGCTCTTGCTCTTGCTCTCTCTTGCTCTCTCTCTCTCTCTCTCTCTCTCTCTCTCTCTCTCTCTCTCTCTCTCTCTCCACCCACCCCCTTTTTGAGATAGGGTCTCATATAGCCCAGGCTGGCTTTGAACTTTACATGTAGCCAAGGGTGACCTTGAACATCTGACCCTCCTGCCTATACCTTTCTAGTGCTGGGATTACAGGTGTGTACCACCTCAGCTGTTTTTATATGAAGTGCTGGGGATTAAACCCAAGGCTTTATACATGCTAGCAAGCCCTCTACCCAAGCCACATCCTGCCCTTAAAAAAAATATCTCTTCTTAATAACCTTCAACTTCAGGCGTGGTGGCTCATGCCTTTAGTCCCAGCACTCGGGAGGCACAGGCAGGCAGATCTCTGTGAGTTCAAAGCCAGCCTGGTCTACATAGTGAGTTCCAGGCCAGAAAGACCAAAAATAAATAAATAAACAAACAAACTTCAACTGTGCTTTGTACTGCCTCATCCTGAAAGTTGTCAATAGTGAGGTCAAGGTTCCTGGCTTCACTGGCTGGAAGTTTCTGGAAAAGAACTCATGGGGCTGTCAAGATGGCTCAGCGCTTGTTGCCAAGCCTGGTGGCCACAGGGTGGGGAAGAACTGATTCCTGAAAATTGTCTCTGACCTCCAGCTGCGGGCTGTGGCATACATACTGCCCTACGTACACACAATAAACAAATTAATAAATTAAGAAATATTTTTTAAGCCAGCTCAGGCTGCTTCAGGCCGCAGCACGGAGCTATGTAACTCCTGTGCTCCACTGGCAAACTGAGACAGCCCTCCTCAGTGTCATCCAGTCTGGGGAGACTGCCCCAGTGTGCACTAGACCCCCATTTCCACCTCACTGTTTCCAAGCGGCCCCCAGAAGCGCCTCTCTCTTGCACACAGGTCAACACAGTGTGCAACACCCAGAGTGCACAGAGTCCCTTCTGTGTTGACTCCATTGAGTGCTTCAGACGTGACCCCAATGCCTACTTGCACATCAGTTAGCCTGTGAGCTTCTACCCACTCATCCCTCTTGAGGTAGGGGCTCACTCAACTTCTGTTTCCCCTTCAACATAACTATCCAGGGTTCTCTGGGGAAACAGAACCAGAAGGAGATGCCTAAGAGGTTTATTATGCAGAACCAGCTCACAGTTTGAGGAATAGAAGTCCCGTGGTCCAGCCTCTGCAAGCTGGAGAAGGGGAGAGCTTGCATCATGGATCAAAGACTTGGGGTCAGAGGACCCGTAATGCAGACTCCTGTCCACACCTGGGGGATGGAGAACCAGGCAGCCCAGGGTTGAAACGTCCCCGACCTTCGGTTTTTCTACTCAGAACCTGGACAAACTGGATGACCACGAGGGGAGAATCTGCTCTTCTCATTTCTGATGCTGAGCATTTCCCACTTCCAGTAACACCGCTCACACACTTAGCCAGAAACAGCTGTCAGCCCGCCATCTGGGCATCCTGTGGCCCAGCCACCTTATTCTGTGAAGTTAATCATCTAAGTTTATTCACGTCAGCTTGACACCCAAGCTGAATGGTCTCCCTAAATCCATACTGAATCCCCCAAATAATCCACCTGTTTCTTTTTTTAGACAGAGTTTCTCACAGGCCTGGAATTCACTGTGGATTAGGCTGCCTGGCCAGCAATCCTCAAGGACCCATCCGTCTCTGCTGCCCCAGCACTAGAATTACAAGTGTGCAACACCAGCCTGGCTTTTTTTTAATGTCATTCTGGGAATTGAACTTGGATCATCATGCTTGCAAAGAAAGCACTTAGCCAAATGAACCATCTCCCCAGTCAGCACATAAAGTCAGTATATCTTGTAGCACATTGTAATGGAATAAATAAGGAAAGAAAATAGATATAGATAGATGATAGATAGATAGATAGATGATAGATAGATGATAGATAGATAGATGATAGATAGATAGATGATAGATGATAGATAGGTGATAGATGATAGATAGATAGATGATAGATGATAGATAGGTGATAGATGATAGATAGATAGATGATAGATAGATAGATAAATAGATGATAGATAGATGATAGATACATATAGATAGAGATAGATAGATAGATAGATGATAGGTAGATAGATGATAGATGATAGATAGATAGATAGATAGATGACGATAGATAGATAGATAGATAGATAGATAGATAGACAGATAGATGAATGATAGATGATAGATGGTAGATAGGTATCCACACACATAACATGTTTATATACACTAACGATGCATTCAAGATAAAATAGAGAATAAATACTCATGACAACACAGGACCCCTTTTCTGTTCTGTGGACATAGCTGGTATTAATAATTACTTCTTCCACTACCCTGCCTTCACCAGGAACCTGAGCTGGCTATGGCTCTTTACCAGGTGGAGTGACACACTCTTTCATTCCTGAACGATCTGGGTTCTTGGTCATACATCTAGATTGGGTTGTTAAAGTTTTCTATCAACCTTAATCACAAGCATGAGAAAAGGAAGGCCTGCCCTACACAGTGCCCTGTGTTCCAGAGCAGACTCCTTACCTGCCTGGTGCAG